TAAAAACGTTACTTTAAAAATATTAAAAAAGGTATTTTTGGTTTTATAAAATATTTTTATTGTTACCTACTTTCCAGGGCAATATTACTTTTAAATAAAAAAAACTAGAATACAGCCTAATTGAAAACTAAAAATAAATCAAAGAACTAATAAATAATAATAATAAATAAATAACTGATAATAAATCATGAAAGTAGTTTTTATAGAAAGCACATTGGTAAATTTGTCAATATGCCACCATTTTGTTTCTACTAAAGTCAGGGAGTTGAAATTTTTCCAGAATATTTTTAGAACCTACTTTGTAAACTGTGTAAAGTTTCAAAAAGTTCGGTGCATGAATGGGCACGTAACACAAAATCAAACGTTTAAACCCCTTCGTAGAACACCCGGTATAATATTGTTGATTTATATTTAAATTAATGAAATTTGTGCCCTGATTAACAATAATAGTGGTTGGCTTTCTAACACAAGGTAATACAAGTTTTCCATTAGTTTATTTTTGCTTATTATTGTGATATATACACACTGATCCGCAGGTAAAGATTGAACTTTGAAAAAAGCCCAGTAGCTACGGTAAAACATATCAATTATATGTGAAATCAATATAAACAGTTTTTTCTTTACTACAGTGAGCTTTATGTCGTGCGATTTGTTTCCTTATTCACTTTATATGTACGTTTTTCAACGAAATAAATGTTTAAGTAAGCTTATTATGTGAAGGTTGAATCGTACGGGTTACATTATTTCCATAAATACATCAGCGCCTCATACAATTCGTATTAGGTAGCCTTATAAGTTAGCCTAGCCTTAAACAATAGTTATTTGTGTAACTAGTGGTGAAAGTGGCACTTTGCTGCACTTTGTCGGGTGACTGTAGGAAATAGTTATTTGTGTAACTAGTGGTGAAAGTGGCACTTTGCTGCACACGAGAGCAATGTTTACGCACGAGCCGCAGGCGAGTGCGGAATGATCTCGAGTGCAGCAAAGGCCTTTTTCACTCATGTTACACATTATATTTTTCCTACAGTCACTCACTATAAAGCATATAAATAATTAGTCTTTCAAACACTATACAACACGTTTTTAGGTTCAGCTGGCAACACAAATGGTGCCCTAGAGAAAGTAGTACCCGCGGTCGGCGGTCCGTATCACTCCGCTATTTTTCCTCGGCAAGAAATGTGCTCCGCGTTTTGAGAATATAGTTCCGTATGTTTTTGTAATTTGAAGTGGTTTCCGCGCCTAAAAAAAATGCTTTAAAGGTATTTTCTTATTTATTAAGATCGTAGGAATGTTTTAAAAACGTTTAAAAGAAAAGTCCAGAAAGTTCAGAAATATCAAAACTATAAACACGAAATGACAGGTTAAATCGTAGTTATAATAGTCAATCAGCTGCTCATAGTATTATTATCTTTAAGTGTTGCCAACCTATTTCCAAGCGTACACGGATTACGTGCATTATAGAACCACGCTGTTTTGTGTTGTTTCGTTGGAATCCTGATGTGCGGCAAAGTATAAACCGTACGGCAAAGTATAAATATGCAGCAATTAGCAGCTTTCTGTACTATAAACAGTACAAGGAAGTCAACTTTGTCGGGTGACTGTAGGAAAAGATACTTTTCCTACAGTCACTCTACAGTCACTATTAACATTCCTACGATCTTATTAAACAAGAAAATACCTTTAAAGCACTTTTTTTAGGCGCGGAAACCACTTCAAATTACAAAAACATACGGAACTATATTCTCAAAACGCGGAGCACATTTCTTGCTGAGGAAAAATAGTGGAGTGATACGGACCGGGTACTACTTTCTCTAGGGCAGCTATTTGTGTTGCCAGCTGAACCTAAAAACGTGTTGTATAGTGTTTGAAAGACTAATTATTTATTTGCTTTATAGTGACTGTAGGAAAAATATAATGTGTAACACGAGTGAAAAAGGCCTTTGCTGCACTCGAGATCATTCCGCACTCGCCTGCGGCTCGTGCGTAAACATTGCTCTCGTGTGCAGCAAAGTGCCATTTTCACCACTAGTTACACAAATAACTATTTCATACTAAGAGTTTCAGTTGAGTTATGTTCCTGAAACCAAAGGGGAATGTTTAATTATTTTATGGAAAGTAAATGAAAGATACGTCTTATAACGCTTGAAAAATATGTTTACGCTTACTTTGTTACTCACAAGACGGTAAATATACAAAAAAGATGGTAAGTGGTGATCGATTTCGATTGGACACTCCAATAATAATCACAATAGGCGAATGACAAGAATCTTGAATGGCGTCCCTACTTATTTATTTTATATAACGGAATTCAAGATCACATTTTTCCGCTTCAGTGTCCTCTCCGTTGCGAAGCACGGGTACAACAGCTAGTATTAAAATAAAGTGAAGACCAAAGGCATCACAGCTGTGGCTACGTTGACGCCACAATCAAGTTAAGTAATACCACAGTTCAATTTCGTTTCTAAAATAAATGGCAGGGAGTGAAACCATTTGGCATTTTCAAAGAACCAGCATCAACTCTTTTGCATACTGACCCCGTTGCGAGGTACATACGCAACATACGCACATACGCTGCTAGCAAATACGAATAGTAGTAGCACTGGTTGCAGTAGCGCCAGTCACATTTTTAAGCGACCGGTGCTACTAATTGGGACCGACGGGATTGATTTATTTAGTATCTTATATAACTTTTCTACATTTACAATTCCATAATACTACCGCAACAGCCAAGGCCACACTAAAAAATGCGAGTGCAAACAGCCTTTGCTGCACTCGAGAGACATTCTGCACTCGCCTATGGCTTGTGCGTAAACATTTCTCTCGTGTGCAGCAAAGTGCCACATCGCCCACTAGTTTCACAAATAACCATTGTTTAAGAAAATGTGTAAACAAACTTACTACCCATCAGAGATTAGTATTAGAAATGTAGAACGCCATAAAATGGAAATCTATGGAGTTTTCCAAAATTTTATTACGCACAAACATCCCCAGCCACATATAGAGCAACTTCCCAAAGTTTCAAGGTAATTGGATGTATGGTTTTGCAAACAAAGCGTGCAACAACACTTCAATGTACAAATAATTTGTTTTTGAACTCTACAAAATGGATAAAAATAATTGCTAAGTTTTATATTTCGATGTTCAAAAAAGGGAAATCCCAATTTATACCCGTTATATTCAACCCCGTAGTCCAATCATGCTGTTTCGCAATCTCGTTCAAATAAATGTAAAAGTGTAAATGAAATATTGTTACACATTGTTCAATTCAAAATTTCTTTAAAATTGGAAGACTTTACTAAAGCTATTGTGCTAACGGACTCATATGTATATGAATGGATTTTAATTAATGGTGTTTTTGGCCTTTTAAAAGAAAGCGCGTTTCTGGATATCAAAACGTAAAAGTAAATCGATTCCAGGTGAATCGGTCGTAATCTGACCATGACAATATGGCAATACTAAAAGGTTATTTCAAAGAGCATTTTTTGTAGAGCTATTTTAAAAGAGATAATTTTTACAGCATTAGGAGTTTATACAGTACAATTGTTTCAGAGTTAACTAAAATAACCATACCTATTATACTAAGTTTTATTCAAAATAGTTCGAGCAGTTTTTGTGAAAATCCAACTTTTTCTTTATTTTATGGGGATTTACACACACATCACTTTGAAAACAACTCCAAAACTGATATCTCCACCCAAAACTTAACTCAAAAATGTTGATTACAACAATACATTCTCCATTTAAGCTGGGTTTTCCTAGACGCGTAGTCGGCCAGCGGAGAGCGGACAACGGAGAGCGGAATTGAAATTAACATGGCATTCCGCTCCGCTGCTAGGAAAACAGTAACATTAAATTACCTAAGACCAGCTGAGTCCGCTCTCCGCGTTCCTCTCTCCGCTGGCCGACTACGCGCCTAGGAAAACCCGGCTTTATGAGGGGGGGGGGGGGGAGAAGTAAAAATGTGAGTAAGTTATTTTGAAATCAGGGAAAGATTGTCTGTGTAATAAGAAAATGTATAATCAGGTCAGATGAATGGGTAACTTAGTGGCTTACGTAACTAGCAGTGTTGTTATAGTTTTGAGAATTGTGTTTGTAGCATTAAATGATCAGCAATCCTAACTAATTACGGATCGGTGTTATTTTAATTTTTTTAATACAGTTAGCATACTAGGTACACTAGATCGTCTTGCGCTAGCGGGCGAACCTGTTCATGTCATAAAAACTTATCATGCCTTTCTTTTCTTTAGATATTGTTTGTATAATGTTGTATTTTTTAAGAGAAAATACTCTGTATTTGTATTACCACTTATATCATTTCAGTTTGAGTCTGAGAACCACATTTTTAGAACATAGTAGCGTTCTGCCTATTGTGAATCTGGGTGAAGTTCTATTACAATTGTTTGAGTTTTTGATTAGTCTTTTTAAAGTTGAGTTTTATCTTACAACATGAGTCAACATTGTGGTTGTTGATTGTTATTTTAAAACTTTTAAAAATATCGTACATCTTTCCGAGGTTTTAAAATCATCATCATCATCGTCTCCCCTGGTCACGGAAACAACGCCACCGTTTTCCGTGATCTCGGCAAAATCCTGTACATCTTTCCGAGATCTTCAAGTTATCATCATCGTCTCCCCTGGTCACGGAAACAACATCTCCGTTTTTTCGATCTCGCCAAAATGATGGTACATCTTTCCGAGTTCTTCAAGTCATCATCTCCCGTGGTCTAGTTAACAACGTCATCATTTTCCGCGATCTCGGCAAAATCTTGTACATCTTCTGAGGTCTTTAAGTCATCATCATCGTATCCTGCGGTCATGGAAATGACTAAAACCTACCTTATAATCTACCTTCGTAAATTATGTCATGGTACATGTTAAAACAACAAGTTAGTAGCCTATTTACTTAAAAAGTAGTCTATTAATAGTAGTTCACTTTGAGAAAAAAATATTTAGTTAGTGCAGCAAGGAACTGTAATAAATGGCTTAACTTGTATGTACAGGTAACATGGAAACAGTCCGCTATATCACAGTGCTGCTGCTTATACTTTGTGCCTTGGACCTTCCCCTGGCTCGAGTTAGTTCTAAGGAGACGACAGATAATAAAGATGATAAACAGGAGAAGAAGGCGAGTATCGTCAACAAGTTCCTGAAGAAACATAAGAAACGCGAAGGAGAGGTAAAGCTGGTCGACGGGTCAGCAGACCACGAAGGTAAGGAAAATGTGTGCAGATAACATTGCACCCTCAAAGAATAAATTGTCCCTTTAGAATATACATAAAAACCAGACTTATTTTAAATAAACCTATAGAATATATTTAGTAGAATAATGTTGTTTTGATCGTTTGTATATATCTACACCATAAAATACTGCATAAATGCAATGTTCCTGGAGTACTTATAATTAATAAAAATCTAAAACCAAGTTGTCATCCGATAAATAAAGTGTTAAAAATGAGGAATGAGAAATGAGGTTAAAAATGTAACATGATTAAAATGTAACATGAGTATTGGATATAGTTTGTAAGAGTCTATATTTAAAATTAGTAAGTCATTTCAAATTTGAACAATCACACTGCCATAATTTAAAAATATGACGAGCTGTTGGCCCGTCCTGGAATCGAGTAGTCCATTAAAACTGTACTAGTGTACATGTTGCTCTAAATCGAGCAATTGCAAAGAAGTACAGGAGTTATTAATAAACAAATGCCTTGTTTAAAAACTTTACTAATAACAGTCATAATTTCCGATGATTTTGAAAGAGTCAACTAAAAGATTATTAACTAATGGAAATACTCACAATTTACATAACAGTCCTATTCAAGTTTAAAGGGTTAATTATTAACAATCAAACTGCCCATCAACGGTAAAAGGTAAGCTTACAATTTAAGTCAAAGTAAAAAGGCTGTCAGCTTTATAAAGTACCACACCTAAGTTATTTAGCCAATTTGTGTAGACAATAAATAAGGTGTAGGCTACTTTAAACTCTACAGGACAGAGTTAGGCAAAAACTGGCAGAACTCTGAAATGGTATTATTTATCATAGGCTTACTCATATGCCAAATCCTCAAAATAAAAATTCAATAACGAATAACTTATATCATTAAACGCAAACCAATATCCAAAACTATACACATTTTTAATACAACATAGATAATTTACACATTGACGGTTTACAATTAACATAAGTTCTTGTTCTCACTATTAATTGTTGGTTCACAACGGAAAAAAATCTGTTTCATAATCGTTGAAATAGATTTATAATAAATAATCTATCATAAAGTTTAAGATTAAATAAACCTACCACATAGTTGTTTATTTTTTTTTAATCAGCTGTCTGAAATTGTGAAATAGGCATTTGACAGATCTGGTTATTTACATTTAAATGTCAAAGCAAATGTAAACATTGTGAATTTTCTCATGCTTCCATGGTGACTAAATATTAATATTTAATTTCTGACAACAGCTGAAGTTTCAAAACAATGTTTGTTTCCCATGTTAATATTATGGAGGAATATGAAACTTTAAAGGGCCCCAGCGCCTCACTCTCTAATTATTTCCCTAAAAAGAAAGTTTCCTGCACAACTTCACGTTATGCTCTTTCCAATGACACCAAAAACTTGTCAATCGGTTTAGTAGTTTCGGAGGAGTAATTGTCACAAAAATCCTGCTTGCGTATTAAATAAGTATAGATATAGTGTGTTTATTACTAATTCAAGTATAGTTTAAGCAGTTAAAAAGGAATACTAAAGAAAAAAGCTTCCAAGATAATTTAAAACATGTGATCTATGTTATTTTCCCAACCTAAATATTTTAAAGACTGCTCAAAAAAATTAATTAGAACATCTACAGTAGTATTTGCTATGTATATTTAAATAAACTCTCATCCTCTTGCCGAATAAATGAACGTGTCAATGATTACAGCATTACACGTAGTATAAATAAGTCAATTCCACGTATGTCATTTAGTTTTCATCCAAAAGCTGAATTTGTATCGAAAACGCTGAATGTTTACAGCTGTTACGGCAAATGGTATCATCATCATCATCATCATCTATCCATCTATCTATTTATCTATCTATCTATCTATCTATCTATCTATCTATCTATCTATCTATCTATCTATATCTATCTATCTATCTATCTATCTATCTATCTATCTATATCTATCTATCTATATCTATCTATCTATCTATATCTATATCTATATCTATATCTATATCTATATTTCTATATTTCTATATTTCTATATTTCTATATTTCTATATTTCTATATTTCTATATTTCTATATTTCTATATTTCTATATTTCTATATTTCTATATTTCTATATTTCTATATTTCTATATTTCTATATTTCTATATTTCTATATTTCTATATTTCTATATTAATTACGTAAGCCGATTCTTTGCGTCAAAATTGTGGGCGACTGGGAAGTCGTAGAACGCGGGAGAGTGCTCATATTAAAGGTCTTGATCCCGTGAGGGCGGGAAAAATAGTGAAATTCCAAAAATCTTAACACAAAATTAGATATAACGTAAAATGTTCTCCATAAGAATAGCATCAGAAGGCATTTACTGCTGATTTTTGTTTACTTCACTACAGCTGATCGTGATTTATCATTAATCAAGTAAGCATTTGGATTACTCATTTGCCAGTCAATTCTGCAATGTAATGTATACTATATAAAACCAAATATATAAAGGGATAACGTTACCCTTAATAATCAACACTTTTTAGCTATGTCAAAATTGAAATAAATTGTTTTCAAGATTAAAGAAACGATTCAAGATTAAAAGAAGATCTTCTTTGTTTTGATTCCAAAACTTATATTAAAGATTTATTCCACCTTTTTTTTTACATTTACTAACATTTATATTTGAGATTTATTGTGGTCGTAGTGTTAAATCTGTTTAATCAATATTTTGTATGAAGTGGAATAACCTCAACGGTTACTCTTAGAAAACAATTTGGGAATAAAGATGAAGTAGGTTCGTAAGTTATATGTTCGTTAAATACTTAAGTACTTTGTTAATTTCTCCAAGCAAAAAAGGTTCAAATAACATAGCCTAGCATGCACAGTAGAAAAGAAAACACCTATATATAACAGTAGAACATAGAGGTAATTTCCGTTTCTTAAAACTAATAAAAAGTATTTATTTCGTGATTAGTTTCGATAACTGGGTAATGGAACCCTAACCAGTCACAAAATAGTTAGTAATTAAACGTTGATTAGGCCCTTTTTTGTAGAATATGTAAATCGATCGCACCTTAAGGAGGATTACCACCACATATACTTACACTAGGCTAATAATAGTGGTTTTAGCGAATTTCCCTATAGCTATTACCGTAGGTCTCATGGTAAGACCTAAGCCCGGGACCGATTTACTTTTTCATTTTGATGTCCCCAGAGGCCAAAAACACCATTCGTTCAAATTTTTATATATCTATATATAGATAGATACCATATACAGATGTGTGTGTCCATCCGCATGATAACTTGAGTAATTTTTGTCCGATTTTGATGAAATTTGGTTTGAAGGTGTAAGGTGGGATAAACTTGAATGAGTTCGCGAACCAGCATGATCGGACTATGGGAACGGGGGTTTATGGGGGATTTTATGGGGTAAAAATAGGGTTTTCCCTTTTTTGGCTCTAAAAACACAAAATTTCTAAATTTCTTTTTAAACCATTTTGTAGAGCTTAAAAAAACAAATAATTTAGTATATTGAAGCGTTATTATGCGCCTAATTGTTACGGAGAAAATTCAAAAAAATTGTAATTTTAAAATTCCCATTTTATTCTTATGTAGCATAAGTCAACTGTTGTAGTTTGCTTGTTTATGAAAATATTTTAATCAAATTTGGAAAATATATCAACTTCTTATAACCACAGTACCTTTTAACATTTTACATAAAAAAAACTTGTTTACCCTCCCTGTTGCAGCAAACCTAAGTACTCATTAAACTAATTCTGTTTAAATAGGGAATAAATGTGATATTTTTAAGGAGACATTTTAGTTTAAATCCAATCAGGCAAATGGAAATTCGCTAAGTCTGCAGGTTTGCTGCGGCGGGGGTATTTTAAATGTTAATCAGAAACAAATTTAGGGTTAAGTTCTGCCAATGGGATGCCTTTACTTAAGACTAATTTTGTAAACCTTTACAAAATGAGCATAGACTTAGAAATAATAACTGGGTAGGGTAGGGATGCTAATTTAGCGGTTTTGATCAAGAACTAAGTTTATGTCAACACACCATTTTTTGCCTTTTCTTATTTGACGGACGAAGACAATTTCCAATACTATATATATTTCAAGCCTTTTTATCAGCATTAACCAAAAAACCAAAGCTACCTTAATAAACCAATATTTATTCTTTAGCAGTTAAACCTCTGGAATCATTAAAATTCTTTATTGAAAATAACATCAACAAAGCAAACAAAGACAAATAACAAACTGTTTTAGGTTTTTTTTTTACACAAAAGATATGTTGTACTAGGATATCTATCCTGACACATAAATAATTTGATTCTGAGTTTGTTTAAATATTACAATGATTTCTTTTCCATTTGAGCTTTTTAGGGACTTATGTCCCTACAAGCCACTAGTCTATCTATATTTACGTAAGCCGATTCTTTGCGTCAAAATTGTGGGCGACTGGGAAGTCGAAGAACGACGGGAGAGGGCTCAAATTAAAGGTCTTGATCCCGTGACGGTGGTAAAAATAGTGAAATCCCCGAAATCTTAACACAAAATTAGATATAACGTAAAATGTTCTCCATAAGAATAGCATTAGACGGCATTTCGTGTTGATTTTTGTTTACTTCAATACAGCTGATCGTGATTTATCACTAAGCAAGTAAGCTTACATTTGGATTACTCATTTGCCAGTCAATTCTGCAATGTAATATGTACTATATAAAACCAACTATATAAAGGGATAACGTTACCCTTAATAATCAAGACTTTTTAGTTTTGTCAAAGTTGAAATAAATTGTTTTCAAGATTAAAGAAACGATTCAAGATTAAAAGAATATCTTCTTTGTTTTGATTTCAAAACATATGTTAAAGATTTATTCCACACTTTTTTGTAATTGTACTAAGATTTATATTTTAGATTTATTCTAGCGTTTAATCAATATTTTGTATGAAGTGGAATAACCTCAACGGTTACTCTTAGAAAACAATTTGGGAATAAAGATGAAGTAGGTT